TCGAATTGGTGATGATGGAGCACTATCTCTGGCAGAAGCATTAAAGTCCAATAATGTCCGTCATTTGTTCTGCTTATTAGACGATATTTCATATCTTTGTTGATTATAGACACTGACAGAACTGAATCTTAACTACAATAAGATCAGCAATCAAGGAGCGCAATATTTTGCAAATGCATTAAAAGAAAATACGGTAAGACAACCTGTCTACGTCTATTGAACAACTGTATAATATTTTCGATGATTATAGACACTCAAATTACTAGAGCTTTATTCTAACAATATTGATCATGCAGGAGAGTTACATTTTACAGAAACATTAGGGGTCAACAATGTAAGACATTATCATCAGTTATTTCTCGCATATCATGCATTTTTTAATATCGTAGGTGGTCAAAATTTGAGGTCTTTCACGACAATTCGAATGGCAACATCCAGGTAGAACATGAAGATAGTAGAGAATATTATCTTATTTTCTTCACAAACTTTAATCGGTCATTTTTTTTTGTTCGCTTTTCTATTCAAGCTTTGCTTCTAAATAATAAAGATTATATACTCACTGAAACGTCTATTACTGAACACCTCAGAACTCTAAACAATGAGCGTTGTTTTTTTGACACATACTGATTAACGGTACGTTCGTCAATAAAATACAGAGATCAAACAAATAGAACAATGAAAATGAACAGTCGACGATGAGGTAATCGATTCTATCTTCGATTGTAAAATGAGAACAAACCACACGTTAACTTTATCTAAAAAAATGCAATTAATTCGTGAAAATAAAGATAACGCTATATATCGTGCAATTGATGATGTGTGGATGAGGGTGGGCGTGAGTATCTCAATTACAGTGTGTATATCTTACACCCACACCCTCAAGATGGTTTCCGCTATTTGCGTGATCTACAACTCAACATACTGTGGAATAGTGGAAAGATAAATATATCAAATAATTTGTATGACAAGGTAATTGATGGTATTAATTATAAAATCTCTGAACTAAGAACTGATCCATACAATTTTGTTATTAAAAAAACTTCTTCTAATTTGAAAAATATTATTGATTATTTTGATCAACTTCATTCTCAAGGAAAATCTCCCACCGATGACTCTATCTGGAATATTCCTCACCAAGAGTTAATACTTCGAAATAATTTAATCCCTGCTCTACATATCACTTATTCTTCACATTGGACTGCAGTCTCAGATACTGAATCACCCGTACAACTCGAGGGTACACACACATTTTCAAGTTAAAAAAGATCTATCATATAAAAAAAAATTCTAATCAATAATATTTCTGAATTATCAAAATTTTTTAAGTTTATTTTAAAATTCGTCGAATACGAATAAATAGAATGATAAATGATATTATATGATATCCTAAAATAAGCGTTACAAGCATTAATAAGTTAAAGTTTAAATTATGTTGTTGAACGCCATATTCGCTTAAAATAGCTGTACCATTTCGATAACATATAGCTGGAGAAGTCGACATGATACTACTCGTAACTATTTCACAAGGTTCTTGAGCAAT